TTTCGCTCATTTCAAATCCAAAGCCGACTCCGTCACACAAGTTCACACAAGGTTATGGCTTAAAAAAGAAGCCCTGTCAGTATTTCTCTCGTCACCAAGTCAACATTTCTCGTCAGCAGAAAAATACTGCTTCCTCTCGTCCGCCTTGCCTGTTGCTGAGACTTAATTGAATACAGGAACTAGACACTGCTGACAAACTGGGGAGTTGGCTGTATTCTTCGACATAAAGAAGGGTCACCTGTAGATTCTGCAACAGTGACCTCAGCCAAAAAGGCAGAAAGAATCGTGATTTTAACAGGGCTTGTAAGCACTATATTGCCGTCAAATAAGTGAGTGAATACAGTGAGGTTAACACCTGACAGTAAGAGACAGTTCCAGTGAGGACTATCTGAAATGAAAGGATCTGTTCACACTGTAATGGTATAGGCTGAACATCAAAGCCTCCAGGTCACACAAGACCATGCAAACATGACCTACTCAAAACCACAAAAAAGGCACAGATTGAATACTATCATGTAGGGACTTGCAGCCTCCTCTCCTAAAAAATTGCATCATAAAAACATTTTGAGTCTTGGAATTCAGCACATTTTCTTCTGCAGGGGTGACAGCTGCAAAAGCCACACACAAAAGTGTTGATGTGCTAAGGCTCTTTTTCACAGCTCGCCCATAACACAAATGCTTTTAAAAATGCAGGACTCTGTATGTATGTACACACACACGAGCAATGAAGAATCTTGTGGCTGACACCTCCCGATTTATTGAGAGAACGTATGATAAATTATTTGCAGATACGGACATCAGATGTATGGATTGTTCCGTTCAGCGTCATTTTGCGGATTCACAGCTAAACTGCTCTGCTCTTACTTAAGAATTTCAGGTACGAAACGTTTATCTGGGGCTCATCTGATTGAAACCTCCACCGGAGCCCTATAGCCTTGAGGTTTACTGGGACCAGTTCGAGCTATTTCTGCCCAGCCAACGTTAATAGGCAGAAAGAGAGTAAAATAAATAACAAGGAAAACAATTCATGTCCACCTAACTGAAGATGCATGTTCCCGTCACCTGTCCCTCAGGCAGTAATAATGATGAAACAGTTCTAGGTAACGAGTGCTTTTCAACAAAGCTGCAAAACACAACTGTCTGGCTTCACCAGGGTGAGGTGGAGCCTTCTGGGTGATACCTTGGTTACTAAGTCTTGGCAAGCCACATCAAACCAGGTAAACCGTGCCGGGTCACGGCCTGCACCAAAGCAGGGGGACGGACTTAAATGGACACCTGGCACCGGGAACTTGGCCGGTTCTGAACAAACGAAAAACAACCCCATCCATGTTGTCGTCAGAAATGCGAAAGGCATTTCACCTTATTGGCTTTTGAGATTTCAGTTTCCATTTTTTTAACATAACTGCAGCAGCAGACAATAAGGGAAGTAGGAGCAGAAGTCATGTTAAGGGAGTAGCAGTCACCTCGGAAAGAGCTGCAGCAGAAGTAGGAGCAGCAGCAAGGCTGGTACCACTATTGAGAAACAGGGGTCACAGCAGCTGCATCAGTATTAAGACAGCAGTATAATCACACCGGTGCTAGTGGAAGCAGCAGTATTGAACAGTTATAGCAGAAGCAATAATCACAATTGCAGTAAGTCTTTCACACGGACTGGGCTCATTATAATGGGAAAACTCCGACCGATTGTTTTCACTGGGGGAATGGGAAGACATGCTAGTTGTGTAAGAGTCTCTGTCCTCAGCTCTCAACCTTGTAGCCTGAGCTTTATCGCTGTGAACTACCATTCAGGAGCACCAATAACCATGGGCTTTATCTGGCACCCTTCATTATGCACGCAAATTTAGCTCTCTTCCCACCACTTACTGTAATGCACAGCAGATGTGTCTATGGACATTCTTGCGAGCGTGTGTGTGTGCATTTCGGAGACAACTTATATTGCAAACATGAGTTTTAAAACTCATGAAATTTGAACTTCAAATGTAATCTTTCAATTCACAAAATTATACAAGATTGCCTAGCCAAAATGTAATATCATCTTTTAATTGCAGTGATTCTAACCCTTCTCAATAAGATGGGTGTGTATATAGAGGGGATTGGGCATAAACTGCATAATTAAGACGTACAACACATCAGGCCCAAACCTACCCATCCACTATATAACTCTGCACCACTGTGACTCTAAATGACACACCAAACACTTGTCATGACTCAATTCACCTTTGGATAAACACAGACTGCATTAATGGAGAGAAACAGTGCAAAATACTTTGCGAAAGTTAAAATGAATAATTACACCTGAAATAGAATCGAAGAGATTTAATAATAGAATAATAGTGTGTGCATATTGAGCTGCTGAAGCAGAACTGCAAAGCAATAACCCACAAACATATGCAGTGGACAAGACGCCCATTTGTGAATTTTTTTTTTATTATGCCTCTTCCATCCCGAGGTCGTCACAGAAGTTTAAAAGGGAGAAACAATGAACACAATTTACGCCAGAGTACTATTCAACCATCACAATGTGGGGAGTGAACGGATATCAATGATATTTGAGGTTTGGAACACATTTCCTCTGCTGACCCTAGTTGTCAAATTCAACACATCTGCATCTTTCACCAGCCTGTGCAAGAATCACTCTGACGATGCACAGAACCGCACATGGGTGACCATGCCAGATTTCTGCAGTAGACAAGATGCATCCTGCTATATCATCGTACATAAATCATTTGTCGCTTTACAATAGGGCTGAACCTGCCAACTTCTTATTCACTAGGAATAACAGCCCCCAGGAATTAATGGTACTGAAAGGATTATAGAGCGTTCAGTCAAAATTTGGCTTAACCTGCTTGGCTGAGGGCTGACCTCCTGGCCGGGGGACGAGGAGGCTGGGACCCCCCTACAGAGTGAGGGGTGACCAAGGGGCAGCTGCAGAGGTGGAGAGAGAGATGCAGGGGACGTGTGCGAGGAACAGAAGGGGATCACGTCCAGTATTTCTAGTGATTTAGGAGCGGAAATGATGACAGGACTGATGGCTCTTTACTGACAGTGGAGTCTAATTGAATTTGGCTATTGTCATCCCTCCTTAACTTTGATATACTGTATAAACTCCGTTTATGAGGATCTGAAGCTGAGGTGGGAAGCTATGTCAATGCGTGTTGGCCACAAATACAAAAACCAAAGACGAAACACTACGTTTCTGCTGCTGAGTCTTCTTCAGGTGTGAGTAGTGTTCTGTCTCTTCTTTCTACATGTACGTTTTAGCCTGGAATGAACCTTTGCTTGTTTCCTGGCGACTTCCCTTCCTGACTGTGCGAGGGCAGTCAAGCAGAAAAGCAGTCTGACTGAGAGAGGGCAGAAATCGAGTGCACTACCACAGATCTGCAAATTCCAATTATTTGCAGAACAATTAATGAACTTCCATCTTTCTGGTGAAACAACATCAGTTTGAACACCATAATGAAGCTCTACTTTCATGATGAGTTGGTGTTTTGGAAAGTCAGGTGCACATCTAGAGTTAAAGGAGTCTAATGCCATACAGGCATGTACATGTGCACTAGAATTTGTTATTCGTGCCAATCTCTCACGACATGCACAGTATAGCAGACGACAGTACGACAGACAGCACCACACAACCTAGACAGCACATCACAAAACCGTACATGATAATTAGTAACGTACAATAAATGGACAATAACTATATTGTAGATAAATATGTTGTAGATCATATCTGTGATGTAATCTTAATGTTGTACATTGTTAGGGGTTCGAATGAGGATCTGCGTCAGTGGGTAGGCAGCAAAAAAAACATGTAGAGATTAATTTCACTTTGAAAGGTAGGAAAAAAGAAGTATAACATAACTTTTTGGCTGTGAAGTTTTCATACTTTTGTTTACCTTCTTTTTACTATATGTATTCAGCCATTTTATTATGATTTCTTTATCTCAGCTGCAGTGGGTTAGATTTCGAAAATACTGATGTCTTTCCTGTATTGTAGCCCACAACAACAAAAAATACACGTGAAAAAAAATAACATGCTCAAAACTCCTTGGAGATTTTAAAACTATGAGAAACTTTTGAAATACTTTTCACCCAATGCATGTATAAATGTTGCGAGAAAGGGCTTGCAATTGTCTTTTGTTATGCATTTTACAGTGCTTTCACTGTTGTATTTAGAAATGTTGCACTTGTCTGAAAACATGTTCATCCAAAAGGTTTATAACAATTAGTCCGAAGCAAGTTGCAACCTTCTCTCCGAAGTTCTTGTATCCCAGCGCCTCTTGGATTATGTGTCACGGTAATAGTTGTGCTTTAAAAAATGTGCACTAACCTCTAAACTATAAATCGTTTTAAGGTCGAAAATGCACATGTAGCCGTATAGTCTTATTACACGCTGCATACCCGAATTTATCTGAAGAGATAAGGGCTCGCATTCTAAGCGCGTGTGAGGGTACAAGGTTTTGAAATGTTTGGCGTGGACTTTTGCAACACTAATGTACAAGATGTGGAGAACAAAATACAAAACAACTTTAAAAGTACTGTGTAATAAAATAAATTAAAAAAGAAGTCACATAAAACAGTCGATTTTGTATTTGAAAATACTGCCAATTCTCAGCTAAGCAGATAATGAACGTACGGGTCAGAATAAGGCTTCGTAGAGTACACTTCATAAGAGCGTATTTGTTCTCTGCTATAAGAGTTCAAATATTGTATTATTATCACAGTTAAACCTGATCTCACTGCAACAGAAAGACTGCATCTTATTTTCCTGAACGAACCGCTCTTTCTGCAGCCGGAGCCATGAATGAGTAACGGGTTAAATCACATTTGTAACTTTCTTCCATTGATCCGCCCTTCCTTTGAAGGTAAGGCCCGGTTGTCCAATCAGAGCCCAGAGAGTGGGTTCGGAGGGCTTCAGGCTCCACCCTCCCTGGCCTCCCGCCCCGCCCCTACTCGTCTTAAAGTGCTCAGCCCTCCAAGTTCAATAAAGCGCTATTGTTTAGCCTTAAAGCAAGTCGCTTGCTCCTTTCCCGGGACACTCAGCACATTTTTACACACTGACCCATCAAGGAAAAACCCCATCTACTGTCATTTGGGAGTCACTCCGACTTCTGAAGACAAACGCACCCTGAGACCCTTGCAAGTTTATCATGGACACAGAGGAAATCTGAACACGACTGCTCTGACCGAGTGCGTTTCTTTCTGTCACCCATTTACGTTCCAATTCGTGGATAAAATTCGTGGACGAATTCACGTCGCCAAAGTTCCACTCTTCGCGTTCTGCTTCTGACCTCGGTAAGTTTCCCCACTTCAAATGTTTTCTTGACTACTCCGTTTATTGTTATAATGTCAATGTGTATTAATCAAAGCAGGTTATTCTGGACTGGACAGAATACCCATATACTATATACTGTCCTAATAACTAGATACTGCCCACTAGGACGAAATGTGTTGTAAAATGTATTTAATCATTTTAACTGTAATGTTGGGAGGAAGGCTGTCTGACAAAACAACATTATTAGTCCATTCTCGGGCTGGAAATGCATGTGGAATATAACGCGTAAAACTCCAGTTTACGTTTTTCATTAAGTCGTAAGGGCATTAATAAGACAGGTATTTTGTACCTACAGTACTCCAAGAATCAAATATTTACAATGCCAATATACGTAATGAACGAAGATAAGTCAGGCACTAATGCGCGAGTTATCTGAAGCTTTCGAAGTACAAACTAACTACTGTGCAAGTATTACCTACACACCGAACACGCTCAGCAGTAAAATAACCGCAAATAACAAGGACATCGTCTTCCAGATAAGATTGCACAGGCACTCGGATAACGTGTAATTACTGTAGCATTTGGATAGAAAAAAAAATGCCTTTTTTGTTTCAATTGAAAAAGTGTTAAAATGCAAACAAAACTCATCTGGAACCGCAACAAACATGCCCGCATCTTAAAATATTCCGCGGTGAAGAGATAATGAGAAGAAGTCGCACAAATCCGACCACAAAACGATAGATATAGCGCAACCAAAGTACTGTAAGTTCTGTATTTAGTCGGGCCGAATAACATACTTCGATATTCCCTGATCGCTCCTCTGTGAACTACACGCGACTGCTGGGGAAAGAAACTATTAATTTGTCTCGGGTGTTACAGAAACATTTAATTGTCTTTCTTCACTTCGCCAGCTTTCTTCGTGCTTTTTACTTAACTGGAGAAAAAAAAATACAATCTGTTTAGTCACACGACTCACAAATGAGATTAACTGTTGTTATTCGGTTTTTAATTCCATTTTTTAAGCCGGTGCATAAAGAAGCCATTTAAAGTCTTTTTTTTATGAGCGACCTGAATTTATATCATGGGATTCAGGGGATATAGAATCTGCAAACGAACGCGACTATCAGCGCGCAAAACAAGAAATGTGACCATTTGCGTCGCAAACCAAGTCATTTATCGGTTTTAAGAATAGGTACTCCAGTACAGACAAAAAGGTAGGAGAGTAGCTTTCAATAAAAGACAGGAATTAGGTGACCTCTCGACAGCACTTGAGAGGCTAATTCTGAGACTATTTTTCTTCTCAATAGAAAGTGCGCTCTGCACTTCGTTCGAAAAACTTCATCACCACAACCAACGACTGTTATTGTTAAAGACAAATCTGTCCGAACAGTGATTGATGCGAACCGGCGTTTACCCTAGGGCAACTGGCATCTTGCGTCATGTTCAAAGCTGCTGTTAAAACAAGTAAGCTAAGCCTTCGATTGCACTGATTTAATAAGGCAAAGAACGACAGAAAAGTGCACATGGAACCCTGCAAGGGGAAATAAGGAATCTAGCGATTTTCCTTTTTAAAAAATGTTTAAAATAATTGGCACGTTTTATACTGCCACATTCTTAAGGTGCCTGGCGAGTTGTAAAGTTACCCGGCTCACTAATACGCGGCGCATTCCTTTAACTTTCCCCTACCGAGTTGAAGAGGTTTAAAAAAAAACAGATTTAATTCTGAGGCTGGTTTGGTAATAACTAAACGGCTCCTTAGTTACACTTTGCTTAAAACCCACACATAAGAACATAAATTTACTGTAGTTCAGGGTCCGTTTCGTGCTGCACAGATACCCCAAAGATGTACTGTAAAAACCCGAACTTTACCGAGTCCAGGAGTTGTTCACATTGGACTCGGAACCATTTCGCATCTACACGTGTGCACAATGGTATAAACGATGATTTATTGAACGCGCACTTATTGAAATTGAAGTCTAGTCCCTGCCCAGTTCACCTGAAAGGAAACCATTAGACTTGCGCCTTGCAGGCGCTTTTACGCCTCGGACAGACCGTATCTGGCTCTGGCTCAAGGTTGGACAGCAGGGAAAAGGAACCACGGAGTATTAATAATAGTAATATAGCAGAAAGGTTAGTTTCAGAAAATCTGGTGAATTGGTTTCAAAGCTGCACCTGATGCAATTTGAGGGGTCACCTGGAAAGGCAAAGTATTTTCAGTTCAGACCTTTCCTGTTAGCTGTGTTGTTCTTCAGTATCAGCATCAGTATCTCACTCGCAAGCACGGTCAGGTGAATAAAACCGTTAACCTTTTCAGCGTGTAACCCACCCCTGTCTGACCGCTCCTGCAGGGAGCAGTTACTCAGTACCTCTAGGGGAAAGGTAAGCCCCTGGTAACCATCACCCCGGTGGAAAGAGTGGCGTTTCCCAGTATGTTTGAGATGTTTTTACACTACAGTACGTCACGAAATGGAGGGTGATCCACTATCTCGAATTCCTATTCCATCGTGCAGCTCAACACACCTGTCATTAGCTCAGGAAGTGCAACTATCTAGAAGCACCGGTGTCTTAGCAGATGAGTTTTTTGAGTCGAGCAAAATCAGGATAGTCGTTAAACTCCCGGGACAGATGTCACTGGCCGCCAAATTGATACACTTCTGCGTGTAAAAAGAAGACTTCCCGAGGACAAGATATGTTTGGATGTTCATTCTCTCTAGAATTGCAACGCTAAAATAAAAGTAAATTACAAGTAAAATTGCAAAAATTGTCAGTAAAATATGTATCTTTCTGAAGACATCGTTCACTCAGGTGCTGTACTCCGGTTACGTCCCATTACTGTGAAGCTGACAGTCTGTTGAATGCAGATAGCGCAGCGGATCAAACGTCAACAGGGAGCAGAGCAAATAAACAGTGACGAAGCCCAGGTGATTTTTTACGTCGACCTTAACAGTAAGACAAATCTCAGCTGCAGTCTGGGCTCGCTCCGAAGTGTTACCAAGCCGCTGATCTCGCGAACCGCAGAAAATTGATTGCAAGCGACCCTCGTCCTGGTCTTAATCTGTCCGAATTCTACCGTTGTGAGCAACACGACTGTCTAAGATCGTGAGGAATTTGAAATGCCCCGCAGAGACCCCGATGGCAGCGGCAAGCTTCCCGATCGGAGTCCTCCGTGAGTGTGGGTTGACTAGGCATGCTAATTGCACGAGTCTGTCAGCACGGCCTGGATAACACTTAAGCAAGTGCGTGCGGAGGTTATCCTAAGGGAGAGCAGGCTCAGATCCCAGCGCACAGCATGTAAAGATCTGTAAGGAGTCCTGCTGTGCCAAGCTTTGCCCATTGGATAGGTATTTGGGGGACACTACATTCTAACAGCACTGTGATGTACTGCCCCTGTACTGTGTTCAGGGTTTTCACACTGGGGGGTTTAAGGGTTAGTGTCCTCCTGGACTCGGCATCATCCTCTGAATAAGGTGATTGATTCTGAAGAGGGCTGTCGGAGACGATTTCTCAGCTTCCCCGGCTAACACGAGCGACAAGTGAGAGGTGATATTTTAGCCTGGCGCATACAGCGCGTTCTCCGTTCAGGAGGGAAAGAAAAGGCTGTGTCTGCTCTGAGCGGGGGCTTTCAAATTCCCTTGCTAGCACCCCGGCTGCAAACACAGAATTTCGAGAATCGAAATGGCACCCTGGCAGTCCGTCCTCTCTCTCTTTTCTGACCCGGGCCTGGACTCCCGTTGTCTCAGGCTGATACTGAAAGACGACTTACCGATTTTGGTTAGATTTAAAACACTAACTTGATTCCTGGTTACCTTTTGTCTGTTTTCCTGGTTTCTGTTCATTTACTGCCTCACAGGTTAAGCCACGAATAATCAGAGTTGACATCTAAGATGGGCCAGGGTGCCAGATGGGTTAAAAATTCTAACCCCTTGTACTTTTTGAATCATCCAACATTTTGTCGGCATAGCACTTTAATTTGAAACATGGTAATATTTTGCTTCTGTGTGTATCTCTGTCCGTTGACAACGCCGTGTGTCCGATCACAAGGCAGAACAGTTCCAGTAAAAATACCGCGCAAAGGTACTGTTGTGTTTGAAACAGATCCACCTTCGGTTTTGGTTTTGTCTTCCTAACAAGAGGGCCAGACAGGTCGTTTAGGACTACAAAGACGCGAGGGGAACACCAGGCGCAGGCGTTCAGACAAGAGTACAGAGAGGAGCCCACATGGTGTCTTTCTGTTTGTTTGGAGAGCAAGCCCTGTCTGCACATTGGCAGCAAGCGCCCCCAGTTTGCTATGGAGCCCGGCAGTGCAATCCAAGCCAGCCTTTCAGCTGGTGACATTTGGGAAAGATGCGTTTGGAGCAAGACGGTGTGCGCAGGCCGGAGAAGGAGGGGAAAGAGGGAGCAGATAAAAGCAAACATTCCTCACCGGCTGCCTCAGCAATTTAATTAAAGCGCTGGAAGTGCTGGGGATGGCACGCGGAGAAAGGCTGGGGCGAGCCCACTGAGATGCAGGCTTAACCTCTGAGATCTGCTCCCTCCCTGAGCCTTTCCCTGGGCTGATGGGGGTCAGGTAATAAGCTCCTGGGTCACAGCAACCATGCAAACTAAAAACTAAGGGAGGAAGGCCCAAGACAATCTCAGTCAGAAAGCTAATAAATCCTCAAAAGATATCAAGCTGTAAAAAAGAAACAGAGGAAGGGCAAGGAAGGAGGGGGGGAAGGCAATGAAAAGAGAATTAAAACACACATACACAGGATTAACCCAGCGCCCAGGGATCTGTGCATGGCTTTTTCCAAAGGTGACAGCTTTCGGACTGACAAGAGACACCCCTAACAGACAGTTTAATGGATGCTCCCCCAGTTCTACATGCGGCACCGACTAACACAAACTCAGCCCAGTTTGTCGTCTTTGATCCGTCACATCACAGTGTGCTTTACAACTCTTAAAGACAGGTAAAAATGAAAGTACTAATGACAACAGTGCCGCAAATTAACTCCAGCACTTTGACAGTGGCGCAAATGGATTTCAGTCTTTCCTTTCTGGTTTCACTTGTGAGCTGGGCAGTTTTTTTTTTTTTTTGGAGAGACAAGATGTTTTTAAGGCAGTGAACTCTGCGTGCTGCACACTGAAGGACAGTAGCAGGAAATATTATCTAGATTCATTCACGGTCTGATTATTATTGGAGGAGAAAAAAAATTATATTCTTCCATTCTGCCAATCTCCAGTATTTATATAAAACACGCTGGCAAGCCAGTCTCTGAGGATGAAACTTCATATATCATCATTGAAGAAACTGTAGAAAATTAATAAATGACAACTTAAGTAATGACTAATTCAAAATATAACTAGACGGCCAATCACATACACAGTAGAAATATATAGCACAACAGATTATTCATTTCCCATATTTACTTCAATCTTTCTTAAAGACTGCAGTTTACACCTTCTAGTAGTTAACAGAATATATAAAATTAGTACAGACTCCCGTATACTTACAGTACAGTGCTAACGGAAAGGTTTCACAGTTAATACGTGTCAGTTTCTAATCCCCTAATGTATGCATTCCTATTTCTGCATTGCAGTGGTGGCTTTATTTACTTAAGTAACATCTGCTGTTCTTCTTCTGTGGAATGTGACACTCAAAGTCATCTTGCTGGCTGCATCATCTAATGTCAGCAAGTGACTGTGCTGCCGAGATGGCCGGTTTACAAGTAATTGGGCACATTCACACCCCATTACTGAGCCGAGCAGTCACCGCTGTTCAGAACCTTCCACGGAGCACTAGATCACCCTTCAGACAGCTACTGTCTCAGGATTTCTGGCCAGATTAAAGGTCAGGTTGAGTGAGCTAATGCGATGCAAGGCTGCAAACAGTTTTAAAATCTGTGCAGTGCTCCTAGGGCTTTTAAAACACTCTACAGGAACAAGAGTCGTATCATTCCGGTGTTAATAGCGCTTTAAAACAAAAAGATGTCGGGCTTGCGCAGGGACGGAAGTTAAGGAACTCACGCAGACGTGCACGGATGCTTAGCATTTTGCTGATCACAGGGTTGCTGGTGTGAAACCCCAGAGTATCTGCCTGATTTCAGATAAACTCTCTTCAGCTTTACAAAAACATCCCACCCGCGCTTACCTGTCCGCTCCAAGTACGATTGAAATACGGATCAAGCTGGAATTCGTCAAATCTGACAGCAGGTTTGTCATTTTCCACTCCAGCGCCAAAAGATATAGGTCTTACACCAGGACAATGTTGTGGTTTCAGTGCCATTAATACTAAATTAATGTGTCATCTTTAATCAACATTTACGCCATTCCCCACCCCTGTTTATAGTCACACCATGTGTTTATGCTTTGCTGGGCTCACATATCCTTTATCTCAGCAAACACAGAGACAAGTCCATTCAAATGCCAGTTGCTTAAAGAATAAATACGAATAAATATATACCTAAGAATGGTTACAAACAAGTGGAGGCAACTGGGAAGGAGCAAAAGTCAAATCATTACTTAGTTATTAATTGTTACAGACATATAATGAATACCAGAAATTTGCAAGAGAAATGTCTACCCCCTTGTCATAGCCTACCTCGAAAATCTGTCTACTGCTGTTTTTTTTTTTAATGTAACTAATCAAAGGATAGACATCCTTGCATTCTGGCTTCTTAAATTTACAGCACTGTGATGCAGAAACACTAAGTAGAGGCATCATATTCAGTTTGCTATCTCTCGGCTCTCAATGTAATGATGAATTCCCAGTTGAAAAGTTTAATATAAACCTTACTTGCCCACATCAGAGACCAGCTGCCTTGTGAAGGAGCCAGCAGCCTGTAAATGTCATATACATGATATATAACACACACTGCAAATTAACAACAGATCACAGATTGAAAGTACAGTATGTGACGTTCAAAGCCACTCAAGACACACACATGGCCCCAGTGCCATTGCGCTGTCCTGTGTGCTCATCAGCCAGCCCTGGCAGTTTCCTTCACGTCATCCTGACCGACAGTACCCGCTACAAAACCTTCTGGAGAATGCACGACAGTGCAGCCACAGCCTCGTGCTCTGTGATCTCTCCGGGCATGCTACAAGGAGCTAGTTTTGCAAACATTTTTCTTTTAGTTTTTTCGCACAGACCATCTCTGCATGTAGCCGATGTTCATTCAGTTTGGTTCCATCTGCTTGCCTGTTCTGCTTTGCCTAATGGCGTCCCAAGATCAGGGCCCTCGTTACAGTACAGTCTGTCGACCAGAGGAGAAGTAACAGAAACTGCACCACGCTACGAGGTTACCTCTTTTTTTCCTCCTCTCCTCCATCCCATGGAAAAGAGGAGTCTATTTGGAGGAGTCTAGAGTTTGTGCAGTGGTGCTCAGAGCTGTAGGAAAACAGCCCTCGTCTGGCAGGTGTGACTAATGGCGATAAGCTGTCTGTAGCCTAGTGCTCTTGTCTGACATATACTGCTCTAGTGGCCCGTTAGGAGGTTAACCCTCAAATCACCAACTCTTAATGGAATGCCCAGGGCCCCGAAGTTGTCTTTTCCAACAGGGGATGCCATTATTGGTCAAGTACCTACAGCAGCAACCACAGGATTCTCAGAACTGCACAAAAACATGAGGAAAAATAGGAGTTAGAGGTACTGACTGAATAAAGTGAGAAACCCCTTTGCACAAGGTGTTTTGGAGTCCGGGTAGCTGGTACAACAATCCCCTGCCCGCCTTCCTTCACAGCCTGAGAAACAAGAGTCCTTAGCTCCACCCAGCGCTGGCTTGGCAGAACAGTGGCACTCACTAACGATGTTTAAATGGCACCGCATTAGCAGAAGAATGCTGTGCTCCCCGAAAGAATAATGGAGAGGCTCACTTTTCAGTGATGTTGTGTGGCCCGTGTTAATCCCTTTTGAAACTTTAAAAAGAGGTGCTTTTCTAAATATGTGCTGGTGGAAATAATTGTGTTGGTCTTTTGTTGAAGTCTGTTTTCATGGTAAAAAAAAAAAAGACTTTTTACTTCTAAAGGACTGAGAGAGGGCCCTTTTTCCGACACATTTTTAATTACTTACAGCACCTCCGACCTCACAGAGGGCGGTGATTCTCTCAGAGTCCGAAACTGACACGCAACAGGGCTTTTACAAGAAGCTCGGCAGAAATACAGTAAGTAGAATTTTTAAATAAACCACTTGCTTTCAAGTGACGAATGTATCAGCCAGAAAAGACAAGGACAAAGTCAACTTCTAGAGTAAGAAAGTTCCGGAAAGTACTTGACCAAAGAGTAGGAACACCAACAGATAGCTGGCTCGGGTTGTGAAATTGTGATTTTTTGGGGGGGACATCAAAAAAGCTTTTAAAAGGGACATTCTGTCCGGGTACCTCTGTAAATAAAGTCCAAAATAAAACCGCTAACATTAAATCTGCGAATCACTGTCAAAACAAAAGAAATGAGTGATTAAAGCTTAAAAGCTTTAAATGCCCTGAGGAGGGAGGGCAAAACGTTTTCTGGAAATTTGTTACAGTTTCGGACAGGAAAACCAGGACTTCCCAGACAGTTTTCTATGATAGAGACACTCTCCCTCACGATTAGCACTCTCTACCTGCCCCCTCAGCCACACAGCTTGCACCACAGGGGCCACACAGGGGGTTAAAAGTCACGCTGCCCCACCGTCGGGAGTCGGCCACCTGCGGGCCGGAGAGAGCAATCAGGGAGCGGGTGACGGATGGGAGCAGGCAGGGCGGAAAGCACAATATGCCCTCTGCTCTGAGCGGCGGAGTCCGATCCCACTGCAGCCACTGCAGGTAGTACAGAGCACCAGAGACTTAACAGCCTGTGGCCCTTAACCATGTACTTTTACACTGCGGCATTGCAACATCTCGGCAAGACTCTCAACTTCATTCTCTTGACTTTTCCTCCTCCTCACTGAGGCATTTGTGGCAACACCGCCTGTTCTGAGAACCGAAGCCTGATTGCCAAACAAGCATGAGCCCAGTGAGTCCAAGCCAAGGTACACTGTATTCACTGTTTTTACAGACTTCTGCATCACAATGCTCTGTAAGGCCTAGCAGGTTGCATAAAACACCAAAACCTGAATTGCTCCTTACACTTACCCTTAAATGTCAATTGGCTTTATAGGCACTGCACAAAGCAACTGAACACACTGAGGCCAAAAGCTGAATTAAGGGGACAAGAATCTATTTAAAAAACTTAAGGGGTTTTTGCAACCAGGCACTGCGTACTTAAGCAACAAACCTTTGCTGGATTATACTTAACCCAGCCCAACTGGACACAAGAAGGACTCCTCTGTGCTTTCTGCCAAAATGATAAAAACAAAATGACCACAGAAACACATAAAAGAAAACCCACAATGCCACCATGTTCCACAGCAAGAAGAAAGAAACCCTGAGAGAAAAGGGCTTCCTTTTTCTCAGTCTTCCTTGAAAAAGCCCCAAGTCCTTTGTAGGCTTGGCCATTGTCTATTTCAATGTCTTGGAAAAGCAAACGCAGGGAAATGAGCACTGGCCACATTCTGACTGCAGTTCGAAAGACTGAATAAGTCCCAGAACGCAACCACAAATAGCTGCATTTGAGAACGCAATAAAAAATGGCTTTTAATCTAACTTGTAATTACCAGTTGTTGGCTTATAATTAGGAGGTGAAAGTTAAACCTTAAGGATTTGAACGGGGGGAAGTCTAAAATCTTCCCTTAGAAGCTGAGACTGATACAAATATCCAGTGTATATTACGGTATTCACAGAGTAACTAAGTAGGGCATTTTCTGGACATTTTAATTCAAACTTCAGCGTGTGCGTTTCTAAAAACAAAAATCCGCAAGTCATTTCAGATACAGCAAGAATCGTGAATTCCAGGTCATTCTGACACAAGGACTGAGGCACAGAATAACTGCTCTCACTCCAGCCTCTGTCTTGGTTTCCTCAGACATTGCTCTCCTCTGAGCTCTAGGGTGATGCCCTCTCAGGCATGGCCTTTCATACTCCAGGCGTGATTACACTGACTGTCTGCTGTCATATGGTATTCTGTTTTTCTCCGGAGTCCATTTCGGTTCATTTTATCCTTTTGTGGCTTAGCAATTGGAAATAAAAGTGGGAAAAGTCTTGGAGAATGAAATAAGGACAGAAAAACAGGTTGGTGCACAGTGCAGTTGCATCATATTTTACCAAAGGCAGCTCGCAGAGGCAGGCACGATCTGCAGGAGGCTGTGCTGTTGTGTGATCTGGCCTTTCAAATCCATTTTCCCAGTCGCGATGTTAAAAGGGGAAGTTTTATGCTTTTAAAACCAGCGTCTTTCATTCTCACTCTTTGTAGTATCAGAAGGTCTGTGGGATCAGAGAGCTCTTTTGCTTTCTCTCATTTCTCTGTCTTTTCTCTTCGGCCCAGCGGTTTCTTGGATCTCGTTATTTTTAATTTCGACATCTTGTTAACAGATGACTTAAAGCCACTACAAAGTCGACTGAGGATCAAACATCAACAGCAAGAGTTTTATTAATTGTCTGGAGAGCCTTTCATAACATTAAACTCCAGTATTTTGCAAGCAGCCGGACAGGCAGGGGGGTGGGTGGGGAGGGGGTTAGGGGTGGGAGTGTGGTTTTATGTATGCGTCATGAGTTGTGCTTCACTTTTGCCATAAATATTTACTTTAAACACTCAGTAACTTGTGCGCACATTTTACAAAAGTAACTGCAACTGTAACTCCTGTCCAAAAGCCACAGGGAAATGATTACTCGCCTTGTTAGAGGCTACAAAAATGCCGTCAAGTCCTAGTTTGAGACCTGAAATGTATATTTGTGCGGGGATCCCTAGTAAGGTTTTTTAAGTTGATTTTTTATTACATACTCATTATCTGGAAGCTCCAGCTGTGTCTTTACATCTCAGCTCACGGTTGAATGGAGGAGAGGCAGTCAGGGGGAGTGAACCAGCGCTGTCTGAATAATTCCATTTCTACCCCTAGTGGCGTTTAGCAAAATCTGTACTGTTGCTTGGGGAATCCACCCCCAACATTTTAACAGTCCTGGAAGGATACAGAGAGGGCGAAAACTAGGACTGCTGATAGCTGAAGAAACGTAATGAAGACCACAAAGTAACTCATCTTCTATTATTGCACAAATAAAATCCTCAAATCCTGCACGGAGGAGTTTGACGATATTAAACACGATCGTCAACGCTCAGTAAATCTTGGTGATGTATTGGCTTGAATTATGGAAAACTGCGGGAAAGAATGTCACAGCGTCATTCCAGATGCAGCCCCGAAGCCATTTAAAAAGCCTTCAGAGGTCCCTGAAACAGCAGCTGGATTTTGGATTAGATTTCCAGCGTTTCTACCTTTGAAAGGGTCAGCTCTGTTGAAAGACGACGGAGTGAGAAGAGAGGAGAGCTGTGTGTCTCTGTACTCTGAGGGATAGCACAGGGCAGAACAGGACGGACTGTCTGTGGAATTTCGGGGGTTGAGCATTTGACCGTGAATCAAGAATAACAGGACAGCACTTCAGGCGGTGTTCATACTTTATCTTGCGCTTGAGGTTTAGCCGCAAAGGCTGATAGGCTGTCAGCCGGTCAGATCAAAGAAGTGGCATGTTGGTTTGGCCCAAGCAGGCAATGAACAAACAAAGAGAAAGCTGGTTCCAGAACCTGGGGCGTCATTCTCTTTTTTTTTTCCCCTGACAAGCAGCCTTTCAGAAAACCAAATCGTTCTTGCGCCTCTGCGATCGTGTTCCAATTTTGCCAATTGCGAGGCAAACCTTTCAGCCGGGGCTGAATGAAGTCGAGTCAAGGTCAGAGCTGTTCTTCACAGAAATGCTCTAGCCTCGACTAGCGAGTACCTGCACTGTGGAGATGTGGCAGAAATCAGGAGCAGTACTGTGCCTGGCTGACTGTCCTCACACTGGAGCCTAACGCCTCTTAGTCAAACCTGATATCCAGCAGATTGAGGGGATCGACAGATTTAGGCGCAGAAAGGAAGACAAGAGAAGCCAGGCTACTGTGTAAAAAGAGTTTCAGGTGAAATGAGAGAGGCTATTCTGGAACTTTAAAGGCCCTTTTTTAACACATGAAAGAGGAGGGGTTTCACAAACCAAACTGGCAGTATTGTGATTTCTGTTATTATTGTGATGCTTTTATGATCGTACATCAAAAGGACAAGATCACAGCCGAGTAAAAAAAAACTGGGGTTGGAGTATATCACTGCTCTTGTTGAAAGGACTAAATAAAAGTGTTTGTTTTTTCTACGGGGACTACACGTAAAAGTAGTAAAGAGCTAGGAGCTGTTTACGAAGTCTTCTTCTGTATGGTGTTAACTCTAGAAATATACAGAGACAAACGTTAAATATTTTGCCCACCAATTTTGAAAAGTGAACAACAAAATGTCTTAAATTATGCTGTTTTCAGGATGAAAACCAGTGTAAAACAAAGTGGGTCATCGGAGTTACCCCGATGGCGAACTCGCTGCCCTTACCCAGCCTGCGTAAATAAAAAAAAAAAGAAAACCACACCGCAAACAAACGACCTGAGTCACCTGCAGGCACCACGCCTGTCAGGCCTGCAGCCCAGGACAAAGCGAGAGAAAGACAGTGACTGACATGCAGTGATTAAGTACTCTGGGGCTAATCTGCACAGCTGGGGGGGGGTCTCTCATACTGTCTCATCAGTGCCCATTATAATCCATGTGTAACCCAGGGAAGTCAAAAACATGTCACAGCTCAACGACAGGTACGTTTTGTTATTTCTCGTCTGTGTTGTGCCATGACTCAGCGCAAACAGACCTTCCCATTGTCTGATTTCACAAAACTTTCCTTTTTTAAAATTATTAACGTAATTTGGAATGATCAGACTGGGGACCTTCATCTCTGACCCTGGTGAGTCCCAATCCAGCAATTGTACAGGTCATCCTAAATCTCCTATTATAGAGAGCAACACAAGTTTAAAGCAATGGAGCAATAAAGATGAAGGACATTCATTTATGTTCCAGTTGATTTCTAAATTTCTTGATTGATTACACCACCTTCTTTAGCATAGGTACATTGTTCCAGGCGTTTAGAAAGTGTAAAACCTGCTAGACTGGGGCTCACCAGAACAGGGGGTAGAGACCCCTGGATTGGACATACTGTAGATCATCTCTTCTACTCCACCCACCTCATCTGACACAGTG